AAAGACACTAGACTACTGTCCTGTGCTCACTTGTGCCTTCAGTGCAAATATGAACAGAAGTTGTGTGTGTGTGTGTGTGTGTGTGTGTGTGTGTATTTCCCTGGGAGGTGAAGTGTGAGGAAGCAAATGAAAGAAACCTTTTAAGGCCAGCCTTTGGAAAATGGAGTCTTATTCCTTCAAAGACCAAATTTGAACCTGTACAATATTGTAACTTTAAGAAAATCTAGGTTCATGTAGCAGTACTTTTTTTTCTAAGTATGAAAACCAACTGTGCAAAAAATTGCTGACAYTGTTCAATTCAATGATTAACCATGGCAAAAGATAAATTAATTGAATTTGAGAAGTTATTCAAGTAACAGAGCAATAGCCTAGGAAAGAAAATCCCAAAAGTTAAAAATAAACTCTTAATTTACAGAATATACTAGTTACTCCTTACCAACTGTTATAATTAATTTGCCSTGAGTATTCTTTATTCATGTTTTTATATTATTCCACTGGACACCTCCAATGTAAAATAGAAATTAATTTTCCTTCCAAGTGCCAAAGATTTATTCCTAAAGCACTTAAATGCTTAAAATGACACTAATCAAACTCTTCTTAATCACATAGTCATTGACATACAAAAGTGCAGATGAGCTTGAAAATAAATTCTTTTTCTTTAATCTGTCCTTTTTCATTATTGCTTTGTCAATGTCTAAGAGTGCAAGAGTTTGAATTCTATTTTTAGAACCTGGAATTCTCCATTCTTTTGTCCTACCTTTCTACTTATTACTCTATGGTTATGAATTCAAGCACGAAAATAAACACATTTATGCTATTGTTGACAGGAAAAAAATTACTTATATAAAAACAGAAGCTATATTAATCCATTAAAACTCATTTTACAATTAGGGCTCATATCAATACTTTGACCAGTGTATGATAATAATATTTCTTCACAGGAGAAAAGGAAGTTCATACTGTGGAGGAGGCAACCATGGTTATAACAATGAGTTTAAGAGTATGCAGGTAATGTACTCCTGTATTAAACAAATGTCAATTGATCTTTGTGATAAGCAATGTCCAAAACTCTTGAATACATCCTGAATAGAGCAGATAAGGGCCCCTCAAGAAGCCTTATTCAAAGAGGGGATGCAGACAAAAGGCAAAACAAAGGAATATATGATTTGATATGTTAGGTGAAGTGCCATGGAATACAGAAAAAGTGAAGCCGGATAAGAAAGTGGAGTATGTTGGGGTGCCCTGGGGACAGGATGCAACTTTAAAAAGGGTAGAAAGGGTTAGAATCACTGAGGTGGTATTTGAGCAAAGACTCAAGGTGGTGAAGGAAGTAGCATTTAAGTATTCAGAGAACAATGTCCTAAGCAGAGGACACTGCCAGTGCAGAGGCCCTAGGTTAGTTTTGGAGACAAGAGGGCCTTTGGCTATTGAAAGGATGCTGGACTGTGGCTGCTGCTGATTTGGAAGGAAGAAACAAGAGGACAGTTTGACTTGCTGAGTTTGATATATTTATTAAACATGCAAATAGAGATATTGAATATGCAGTTAAGGAATCTATCTCAGAGATGGAAAAAAAATTTAGTCTTAAGCACAGAGATTATTAAAAATGTAAGACTAGGTAAAATATTCAGGGATTGAGTATAGATAGGAAGACCAAGTATTGAAAGTGGAACACTTCTGTTTGAAGAAATTGGAGAGAAAAAAATTATGAGCAAAGACCTAGAAGTAGAGGCATCAGCAAGGAAGAAAGAAAATCAGAAGTGGTGTATGTGGAGCCCTGAAAGTTCAAGGAAGAAAGTCTACAGAGGAATCTATGTGATCTATGTGTAAAATGTAGCTGAAATTCCTCCATAGTCAAAGCTTTATAATTATTGCATTCTGATTGTCTTATCTAGTTCTATTTGTCACATACACACAAACACGCACACATATGCACACACTCCTTTCCAAATGGGAGAAAAATGTTAGGCTCTTTATGGAACATACTGTCTCTCAATGTTGCCATGGTGAGTTATATCACTTTGTAAATACCTGAAAAATCTCTGGAAACAGAGCTTTTCTATTAATTAGGTTACTATATGATAATGAAATTCATGACTACAAGAAAAACATGCCTCCAATTCTTTGCTGATCATCTTAGAAAAATTATGTATTCCTCRTTAACCAAAAAGAATTGTTTATCCATATTTGATAATTGTGTAAGATTATAAACAACTAGAATTAGATTTGTTATGAATAATATAATTTTAGTAATAATTAAATATAAATCAGAATACTTAGTTCTTTTCATCACAAAAGTAAAGGGATGAGGTATTTGAGAAGTGAGTGAGTTAGGAAGGTATGCAAAAATTTAGAGCTTTAAATGTCAACATTTCTTGTCATGTATTTGAGCAATGATATGAAAAGAATATAAAAACATCATATGGTATTATACAATAAATTTCTAATATGTAATTTCTAGATTCTATGGAATTGTGCTGATATCAGTTGTCCACTGTTGCTTGTGTCCTCCTAGTTGTTGACTTGAGAGGTGTTAGGGAAGCAAGGAGAGACAGGTAAACACAGCATTGGATTAGAATAGATACAACRTCACAGGTGGCAGTGGTTTAAAAATCATTTTCAAATCTGGAAAGAAATCCTTATAGAAGCCGAAGATGTAAATAGGAGAGTTGTTACAGAGGAAAAATGATGTCTTTCCCTAAAATTATTAATGAATTTAGATTTTATCTAGTAATTATATAACTATTACTACCTAGGCTCTCTTTTTGGCACATGGACCCAGTTTTAAAGAACAGACTGAAGTTGAAYCATTTGAAAATATTGAAGTGTATAATCTACTGTGTGGTAAGTATATAAATAAATTCACCAGCAAAAGGTGGATAGTTTTTTAATATAGAGTAATTTGAAACTGGGGACAAACTGAATTCTAAGGCTAGATGTTGTGCATTAAGACAGGAAGTAGAAAAGATGGGGRAAATTTTTATTTATTATCCAGAATTATTCAGCCTTAAGAGTAAATTCATTTTTGTTTTCTTAGTAATGTTAAACCTTAGATCTTAGGAAACCATGCTTTTCTATCAGTTAGTTGCTATATGATAATTTAATAAAAGTCAGAAAAATAAAATAACACTTCCAACTTTTCAAAGAAAGATAAACATACCTAAAACACAAATACTTTCTTGTAATTCTAAGGAGAAGTCTCCCKGCATAAAAGATGGTAAGAAAGTCCTATTTGGCTAGACACCTGTTATTATACTCAGGTTGAAGAACTAAAAGGAATAGGAGTCTTARGGAACCTAATCTACTTTCAATCTACATGATTGCCTTAGTCTATTGTACTCTCAAATCACTTGCCTGGTAAGGCAAGGAGAAAGCTGCTGTTTCACTGTTAGATGGATATAAGCATACGCACAATTATTTCTCTTAATCTTACTGTCCTGTCATAATTGAGGGTGGCTTAGAGACCCAAAATTACCCATTTTAAAATAGTGTTTTGTAGTCTTAACAACTAAATTCTTGTTTCCACAGCTGCTGGGTTTGCGGCCAGGGTTGTTGGCCCTTTGTGGAAATAGTTAGTAGAACTTGAATTTGAGGAGAGATCTCCCTTATGTAGTAGTCAGCAAGAGCCACGTAAAAGGCTATATTTATAAAATATGTTTATGTCCTGTTGTCGAGAAAAATAGAAGTTCTCTAAATATTAAGCAAAATTCACTAGTTAAATTTTTTAAAAGTATCCATTCTTAGAGAATTTTCAYATAGCTAAGTAAACATAAGTAAGATTATAAATTATTTAACTTCTTTAAACTTGTTTTTACTTAAGAGGATAGCATTTTATTCTAAAAAACCATGGTATGCTTAAGGAACAAAGTGATCCTTTTAGCAATGCAGCTTTTCTCCTGAGGGACAGAAAAAGTTCATGGAAGTTCCTATGGTTCATCTATGGGGATTGAGCCAATGTGGAAAGACTAGATGCTGGAGCTCTGGGAGATGAAATTCAGTAAACTGAATGGCACATGCAGTACATGGCTGGGTTACAGCAGAAGTTATTAAATGAATGAAACAGTAGATGTTGTTTCCCATCTCCCACACAGGAGTCATTGCCTTCCAATTTAAAACTGYTTTGAACTTATTTGTTTAAAACAGATCTCCTACGCATTCAACCAGCACCAAACAATGGTACCCATGGTAGTCTAAACCATCTTCTGAAGGTGCCTTTTTATGAACCATCACATGCAGAGGAAGTGTCAACATTGTCAGTTTGTGAAGTTACAACTCTGTTGCCCAAGGGGTTTTTAAACTGTTCATGTCCTAAGACACAAGATGTAAGTAACAACTTCATGCATCCATAAGATTGTAAATGTAAAGGGGCAAGCTGGTCTATAACCAGGGTTCTGTTATGGCTTGGATCATTAAGTACACATGTGGTTTCTCAAAACCTTATCTGAAAATTAGAAATTCTAATGTATGCATTATAAGATTAAGTATGTGAATATACTTTGAAAATTGGAAAGCTGTATTTGGAAAGGAATTGTTAATCCCTCTATGAACTAATTGCCACAACCATTCAAAATAATCTAGGATCTCTTTTTGATTTGCTCATAACGATTCTTAAAGTTGGAGAATCAGATGGTCATGTTTGGCCTTTTAGAATAGAACGAACTGGAAGGGTGCAGGAATTGTAACCTGGCATTAGACACACTCACAAGGGTAGGTTCTGTGAAGTATTTCTTTGGGTAGCAGTGGAGAGTCTCTATCAGGCACCACTTAGACACTTATTGATAGACAGTATACACTGGAAAGATGCTGTTAATAGAACAGGGCTTGGGCTGAATACAGAAGTAAGACTTCAGAAATTCCAGGAGATTCTCAAAAAGGTGAAGTTCCAAGTGCCCTATAAGGGGAAGGAGCCTACTTCTTGGGAGCAACATTTTACTCCTCACACATCAGATAGAGCACTAAGCTCTAGGATATATACAGAACTCAAAAAGCTAAACACCAATAATAATAATAATAGCCCAATCAATAAATGGGCCAAGGACCTGAATAGACACTTCTCAGAAGAGGATATACAATCAATCAAGAAATACATGAAAAAATGTTCATCATTGCCGGCAATTAGAGAAATACAAATCAAAACTACTCTAAGATTTCATCTCACTCCAGTCAGAATGACAGCTATTATGAAGACAAACAACAATMAGTGTTGGCAAGGATGTGGGGAAAAAGGCACACTCATACATTGCTAGTGGGACTRCAAATTGGTGCAGCCAATCTGGAAAGCAGTTTGGAGATTCCTTGGAAAACTGGGAATGGAACCACCATTTGACCCAACTATCCCTCTCCTCGGACTATACCCAAAGGATTTAAAAACAGCATACTACAGGGAGACAGCCACATCAATGTTTATAGCAGCACAATTCATAATAGCTAAACYGTGGAACCAACCTAGATGCCCTTCAGTGGATGTATGGATAAAATAAAATGTGGCACATATACATAATGGTGCTCAAAATACAAAGACCAGCACCACTTTAGAGAATCAGATCACCTGGGTGGGTTGGGATTTCTGAACAAAACTGGAACCCAGGAGCTGTCAAGATAAAATGAATGTCAACATATATTTGATGCCAACTTCAAAATGTGATTGTAGAGCTRAATAAATACTGGTTGCCTCAGGTAAGAATTGCTCCTTATGGTCAAGGGCTGGTGAAGACTTTACATTCTCTAATCTTCAAGATATCATTACACCCATACATAAAGAAATACCCAACCAAAAAAAAAAAACCCATTAAGAGACAAACAGTAAAACTTCTCAGTAATTATAAAATTATAACTTCATAGCAAAGATAAGAGTAGGGGTGTGGGTTTCCTACCTGATATCCCTAAGAACCTCAGTTCCAGGTTTCCACTACTCCAGATAACCTCAATAGAATGGCCATTAAATTATGATGATGATGATAATATAAAGTGGGCTTTGGGTATTTTATTCCCCATTTTAGGGGAAAAGAGGGCTCAGAGAAGTTAGGCAAATTGTCCAAAGTCACATAAAATTAGTCTATCTGACTGCAAACTTGGAGTTCTGTTCTATAAAGAATGTCTCTTTGTATACCAGGTATGGATCTAAGACCAGCATCTGCTTGACCTGGTGTTTGCCTAGAGATGCAGAACCTCAGGCCATAACCAAAAGGTTTATGAAATCATGATATTCACTTTAACAAACCCTGAAGAGATTTGTATGCACCTCAAACTTGAGAAGCACTGGCTGTCATCCAGACTCCATTGTTGATTCCAGCTGCCTCTTTGTCCCATTTTCAATTATATCTTTGCCAATTCCTACACACACACACACACACACACACACACACACACACAGAGGGAGAGAATGGGGGAGCTGTACCATCTCTGTATTTCTGACTAGAGGCAGAATTGGAATTTAAGTCCATGTTAGTCTGTTGTCTTTGTTCATTAGTAAACAAGTAAAGTTTCACTAGTAAAATACTTCATGTGWTTACTGCAGAAGTAATAATAGCTTTTACTTTCTTCCCTTCCCTGTCTTGTTATCTTACAGGGTAGCYCTCTGGAAGAATTGAATGAAATGCTAATTTCTAATGAAGCTAAACTATCTGAATGCAGACAAGGATATCCTCTCTGTAATGAATGTCTCTTACTAATCAGAGAGGTATGGATCCAAGACCAGCATCTTCATGACCTGGGGGTTGCCTAGGGATACATAACCTAGGTTTATGAAATCATGATATGTACTTTAACAAACCCTCAAGAGAGATGTATGCACCTTAAACTTGAGAAGCACCAGTTGCCATCCTGACCCCATTGTTGATTCCAGCTGCCATCAGAATGCTTTGTTCCATTATCTATTATATCTTTGCCAATTCACACAAAATGGAGAAGCAGTAGCATCTATCTGTATTTCTGAGTAGTGGCAGAATCAGAATTTCAGTCTGTTGTCTTTGTTCACTAGTAAACAAAGTAAAGTTTCACTAGTAAAACACTTTGTGTGATTAATGCAGAAGTAATATGGATCATTCTTTATTAAAAAATATATTTTTAGTTGTTGATGGACATAACTTTATTTATTTATTTTTTAATGTGGTGCCGAGGATCAAACCCAGTGCCTCACATGTTCTAGGCAAGCACTCTACCATTGAGCCACAACCCCAGCACAATATTGATCATTCTTTGACATGTGTTATTACTTTAACTTCTTTCCCTTTCTCGTCTTGTTATCTTACAGTCTACCAATCTGGAAGAAATGAAACAAATGTCAAATCTCACTAAAGTTAGTCTGTCTGACTGCAAACAGAAATTTCCTCTCTGTGAAAAATGTCTCTCCGTACTCAAAAAGGTAGGATCCAAGACCAGCATCTGCATCACCTGTGGGTTGCTTAGAGATGCAGAATCTCAGGCCATAACTCAGGTTTATGAAATCATGATATGTACTTTAACAAACTCTCAAGAGTTTTGTAAGCATTTCAAACTTGAGAAGTACTGACTATCATCCTGACTTTGTTGTTGATTCCAGCTGCCATCAGAATACTTTGTCCCATTGTCAATTATATCTTTGCCAACTCCTACACATGGACACACAGAATGGGGGAGCAGTAGCATGCTATTTCTAAGTAGTGGAAGAATTGGAATTTAAACCCATGTTAGTCTGTTGTCTTTGTGCACTAGTAAAGAAAGTAAAGTTTCAGTAGTAAAGCATTTCAGGTAATTACTGTAGAAGAAATATTGATCATTCTTTGACCCATGTTATTACTTTTACCTTCTTCCCTTCCCTGTTATCTTATAGGCTCTCAGTCTGGAACAAATGAATCTAAGGCTAAATCTGACTGAAGAAGAAAGTAAGTCAGTAAAGTCTATGTTAAGTGTTTGATATTTAGAACTAATAAAACACAACATTGCTCTTTGGGGATTTTCCAAAATAAGCTCACAGAGGCTTTTAAAGATTTTATTGCCAAAAAATCAGGGGGAAAACCCCACAGGTCTAATAACAAAGGGTGCCAAACACCAGGAGAGTTGCAGTTGTTCCAAGATTGTGAAAAATTCCTTGAAATAACTGCACTTTGTCTGAGGCCCCCTCTTCCTTTTCTAAGGTGTGAACAAACCACATGTCCTTGGTTCCTGGCTGTGGAACCTGGGGCAAATCATTTACCTTTGCTGTGCCTCTAACTCCTCATCTACAAAAATCATACCCCCTTTATGTAGTTGAAAAGATAAAAACAGCTAATACATGGAAATGATTTATAAGTGCCTGGCCTATAGCAATGCCTCTATTTCCTGTTATCTTCTAAGTATTCTTGTGTTAAACTCTCTAAACCTCAGTCTCATCATTTATAAAATGGGGATGGCAGCCATCTCTTGTTATCTACAGGGGATTTGTTCCAAAACTCCCTGCAGATAAGCAAAACCTGCAGCTGTTCAAGTCCCTTATATAAATGGCATAGTATTTTCAACGAACTATGCATATTTCCCCATAAACTCTAAATCATCTTTGGACTACTTGTAAGACCTAATACAATATATATGGTATGTAAATAGTTATTATACTGTTTTGTTTAGAAGGAAATGACAAGGAAAAAAATCTTTACATGCTCAGGAAATGTTTTCTCAATATTTCCAATCTGCAGTCAGTTTGAATCAAATATAATAGAAACAAATAAATAGACATTAAGATACAGTCTGCATCTTCTCAGGGTGCTATAACAACACCTTAAGCAAGTGACTTATAAACAACAGAAATTTATTCTCATAGTTCTGGAGGCTGAGCAGTCCAAGATTAAATTGCCAACAGATTCAGTGTCTGGCCAGGGCCCACTTCATCATAGATGGTCTTTGTATTCTAACCTTATGTGGCTGAAAGGGCAAGAATCTCTCTGGAGTCTTATCTTTATAAGGGTACTAATTCCCTTTGATAAGGACTTCACCTGATGACTTAAAGGACTTCCCAGAGGTCCCATCTTCAAATATCACCACCTTTGGGATTAGGATTTCAACATGAATTTTKGAAGGACATAAACATTCAGACCATAGAAGACTTTCTTTTTAAAAAAATTCCAATATCTTTCCTATGAAATTATTAAAGTACATCATCTTTGTTGTAAAGTAGGCACTTTGGGTTTTAAAATTTCATCTTCTTTGGTTATATCTTGTGAGATATAAAACATAAGGAGCGAAAGAGAGCTTCACATCTTTTCTTAGCCCTTTGCTTAACCAAGTTACTTACCTAAGCCTTAGTTTTGTGATCTGTGGAATGGGATAGTAACACCTACCTCACAGAGTGGTTATGAGTTGTAAAAGGTTAAATATATAAAATATTTGTTAGAATACCTGATAAATAAGCCACCAGAGGGTAATTATATGCATAGAAGCACTTGCTGTTTTCACAAATATTTTTATTTTACATTATTTTCATTTTAGTAATAGCAACAATGAAAGTAAATTTGCCATTTGGGAGGCCCAGGGTTATGCAGAAGAACCAGAGTCACTGTCTCCTTTACCACAGAGAATACATCACTGGATTTGCAAAAGCTATGAAGATACCTATGTGGAGTTCATACACAGTTCCCAAGCCAGTAAGTTCCTGAGTCCATTGATCCATGCAGGCTGGAAAAACTTGGCAATTCTTTACCRTTGTAAGCATTGAATTTTGTTTTGTAGCAATCACAAAAGGTATTCACTTGCCTGTAGCTTATAAAGAGAATGTTCCAGGTATTACAGAAATCCTTTGATAGGTGCTGTTTGGTGCAAAAGAGAACTACATTGTGTTTTGATTAGAGAGTTTTTATAGGCCAGTTTGCCAATTGGTAAAGCAGTAGAAACTGAAGCAACAGGAAGTACAGAGACACTGTCCTCTAGTAACAGTGGGTGCTCGTAGAAGTTACCGTAGCCAGGTCAAAAAGGGCTTGTTATTTTTTTTTTTTTTTTTTTTTTTTACTATTTAACAAGTACTTTATTATCTGCTGTGTGCTGTGGAAGGAACAAGGAGCAGAGTGTGAAGAGGACATGATCTTTCCCTGAAGGCTGAAGCACTCTGATAAGTTAGGCTCAACTTACCTGAGCAGATGTGTTACATCACAGGTCTCTCCAGACCAAGGTTGAGAATCCATTTATTTAAATCCTCTTTCCTCCTCACTGTCTGGCAAACTTCCTTTCACTATATGGTGCCAAGATGCTTAACTACCCATGAGGAAGAAAATCTTAGATACTTACCTCACACTATACACAAAATTAAGTTTCTAGTGGACCGAAATATGAACAACAAATCCATATTTTCCTTTGTGCATATCTTTATGACCTTAGGTTAGAGAATGATTTCTTAGAATACAACAATAACAATAAAATTTCAGAGGAAATTAATTGGACCATATTAACATTAATGTGTGACAATGACAGTCATGGATGGAACAGTATATTTGCATTGCATATAAAAAACAAGTGATAAAGATCCAGAATAGTAATTWGAATCCAGAAAAGATAATACTATCTGTGAATAGACATGAGAGTAAAAATCATCTTAGTCAATATATGGACAAAAGATATAAGCCAAGCAATTCAACTTAATTAACAGTCAGGTAAATGTAAATCAAAACAAAGGGTAAAATCAGCCTAAACACTTAGTTTCTTCAGGGCAGGAGCGGTTATAAAGTATCCCTGGCTATTAAAATGCTCATTAAATCTTATTAAATGGAATGTATTAGATGAATAAATCTCAAACATTATTTTAAAAGACTTTTAGAGACAAAGTTGTACAGCTATCCAGAAGGGTAAATAAATAACCAGGACTCTGTTTTTGTAGAGATAATCATAGTATTTTAGAGCAGACATGTGATGAACTCTAGCTGTTAACAGTTCTTGCTAAGAAAGTAATTGGTTGTATCCGGTTTAACTACCCTTCTTGTTCCAGTTCAAGAATTTTAGAGAAAAGTAAGCGTATTTTCCAGCTACTAATTAAATTTTTGTGTATTCTGAAAGCCAGCTCTGCTATCGACGTGGTTTGATTGTGATCACTGGTCACAGAGCACTGATGTGTGTTTCCCAGTGTGGACAAATATTTCACCAGCATTTACCTAAGTTCATGTTTGTGGCTGGTGGCAACTACTCTTCTTCATAGGCACAATATGCAATTCTTTGTGATTTTCTTTAACATTCCATAAAATAATTTCTATTTTATTTTTGCTTTTGAGAGGAAAGGCATATTCAAGGTCAGTCTTATTATTAGTTCTCTTTTGAAAAGTCCAGGCAGGTACTAGGGATTCTGTGGAGTTGAAGGGAATGTTTATGTTTTTAACAATTTCCGCTGCTGTCTTGCATTCCTGAATTTGTATGAGCTTTGGCGGAAACCAAAGGCAGAGGGATTTTAAGTCAGTGCAGAGGAGGAATTTAGTACAATTCTTCTTTGTTATTGTTTTAAAACTAGCTTCTTTGTTACCAAAAGATCCTGTCCTTTCTCTGATCCCACAGAAGGACTTGTCTATTTCTCCCTCCATGTGACAGGATGGAATTCTAGCAATTTTCTGCTTTCTAATTCAGAAATTGCTCTGTTCATATGTTGTGGTTCAGGAAAATTACATACAAGGATGTTTTGAGATTCACATAAAAATGTTGTAAATCAACCCTGTGTTTGAAAAATCAGACTTTAAATAAGTCTGGAACATGAGCCCCCATTAGTCCACGCCTTTAGTTTTACAGAGTTTTAGGGTTTTTGTGGTTTTGGTGGATTTTCTAACTTTTGTTGTTATCTCAGAAGAGTTCTGGGTAAGTAGTTGTGACTTGAAATCACAGTCCTACAACTGCTTCTAAACCAGGAAGACTGCTCAGGATGTAGGTGAATTTTGCTTCTGGGTCTGTTCAAAAGGAAGATTATGAACTGGTTTTTCTGTTGGTAGCTAAAAAAAATGAAAATAAAAGCAAGAATCGTGATTGTTATTTAGAATAGATACTTTAGAAATTTAATATGAAATCAAAAGACTTTTTAGAGGAGAAAAATCTATTGTTCTGTGAAAATGCTCCATTTAATGTACATAAGTATAATGTTATATATTATAATGTTTATGTATATATCACCCATTCACTAAATTGCTGAATTTTTAAAGCCTTTTTTTGTGTGTCTAAACCTTATTGTAACCATATTTGTAAGTATTTAAAAAAATTATGATTTTATTATATCTTAGAAACTTTTTTTAACCATGAGAAATAATTTTCTCTTTGAGGAAAAAAGTATACAATCAGACAAACAAAACTATAGCATTTAAAAGTATAGCTATTATCCTTACCATAAGACCAGATTATAACTATCCAATCTTTGAATAAGTATGCTTTAACTTTTACATTTGGCCCAAAGTAAGGAGAAAGTATTACTCAATCAAAATAAATTTGTCTCCTGTTTAAGTTCTGTTTGTCCCCTTGTCATACCAGAAGTAGAACCATCTCATTTTCCTATCTGTTCTCATCATCTGCTTCTCTTGAAGATTTGAAGAGGTAGAGATTTGAGATTTTATCTGAGTGTCTTATTAGGCCCTGTTTATTATGTTTCTGAGTTTTCTCTGGCTTCAGAAGTACCAGGGACTCTGAACAGAGGGCAGAACTGAGGCTGTTTCTCTGTGTGTTGGGGGGGTGGTGGTGGTGGTGATGGCTATGTGGCAGTAGTGCTTCACCATCGCCTTTTATCATGAGACCTTGGCTCAGGAAGGACATGACCTCTGCTCCCTCTGTCCTTCTAGAGGCTGCCTTTGGCATCCTCTCACCTTCATAAATAAGGCCATGTCCTGCTTTCCTGGTCTTGATTCATGTCTACTTGGGGGTTCGAGTTTGATATGTGAGAAATAAATTTCAAGATTTTTTAGTTAGAAGAAAACATGTAACTTATTTTAGTTCTTTCTGGCCCATTTTTCTTAACCCCACATTCATGCTACTTCTAGAAAATGGTCAACAATTGCCCAACTAAATTTTTTGAGCACAGCTTTTATAGCCATTGTCTCATGAAAAATAACAGTGAACTTCCCTTCACATTTTCATAATTTAAACTGTTGGATATAGGCATTCCAGTTCTCCTACATTATGGATTAATGTTTTTGTGGCTACATTTATGTATTTTATATTTCTTTAAGAGAAACTTATTAAACATATAAGAGGTTAGAGTAAAAAAAGGAAATAGCAAACTCGTTTTCCTTGGTATTTATGGGGCTGATTCAGTCAGCAGTCATTGTCCCCATGCTCCCATTTTTACAACATATTTGTGTGCCATTTTATTGCCAAGTGGAGAAACTGGTTGTTCAGAACTGTTCACTATGATATATTTTGAAACAATATAAATGAGTGGTTTTAGTTTTTCAGATTCTGCCTCTTGAAGGAGAGCAGAATAAATGATGAGAGGTAATCCAACGCATTGAACACAAATATCTTCATATTTCTTCATTTACTTCTTGCTTTGTTAGAAYAATTGCTTAAGAGCTTCCTTAGAAAGGAAGAAAAAAAGATGCATATTTGAGACTGTGGATGTCTCAAAATGTTTTGATTCTGCTGTGTACTAAGTTGATGGTTCAACTGGATTTAAAACTTTAGAGATTTATTTTTGATGTTTACATGCACAAATGAACACATGAAATGGGTTATAMTTAGTAGAAACAGGCAATACTGACATTTCCGTACGTGACCTGGTGCTCCTAATTAATATTTTTTTGCAATTGATTCAACTATGCTATAAAAACCTTAATAACTAATTGAATCTCTTTCTTGCAAATAGGACATGAAGCCCCATGCTTCTTTAGTCTTCTGGGCACAGTGAAAACAAGTCGTAAGATGGCTTGTCCTTCCATGAATAATGTTCCCGTCTCGTGGTCTTTTCTCACACAAGCTACMTGGCTTCAAGATAATCTGGGCAGAGGTGGAATATGATGTCATTTTTGACTGAAGAAACTGCAGTCTGTAGATAAAACTTATGGTCSATCCATGAGTCGCTCCCCCTTGGAACCCGGGAGGGAGGGGTGGCAGTWGCAGGTCCTAAGCCCTCGGCAGCATTTTGAAACCTCGAGGAATCGAGATTTTTTTTTTAAGTTAATAGGACATTATATTTCTGGATTCATAGTCTAATATGCTTATATTTTCCATACTTTAACCCATGTATTTGCCTTTAATTTCACTTTATGAGACATTATAATTTTACCTTCCAGATCATATTCAATATTTGTCTCAGCTGTCCCATTTTTTAAAATCCCAAGACCTCTGTTATCTCCTTTCTTATTTTCTTTATTTTTGCTATATATACTCTTTCTGAGAGTTCTCTTCTGCTCTCTATATTGTCTCTTTTTTCTTCTTGGTTCCTCTTTCTCACCCTCATTGAGGTGGTCCTTTGCTGTCAGCTCAATCATTAAGGGGAGGCAGCAAATATGGTTAGGGCTTTCAAGCTCATAGATTTCTATAGGTTGATTAGGAAGCTACCAGCCATTTTGTTTTAGACTTCCAACAGTAAGTATCTAGTTTTACTTTCAGGTTTGATTGTTTTCCAAAGACAGAGCACTTCAGATCTGATCCAGTGAATATGATTTGCAGGTTAAATGGAGTAATGAGATTGGGAGTTTTATTTAATCCCATTGTTTTCCATATGGTGTGCCTGCCCTTTGTGCCTTCCTTTACTCTGGGCATCTCTCTGGTTTAAACTCTCCAGAGAGTAAACATTTTACATGGCCTCTCTAACCTGTCCTCTTGTTTCTAGTCCTACCTACTACATATATTCTCTGGTAGTCTCCAGGTTCTACCCTTCTGGGCCTCTACAGTAAGAATCCAATTCTTTCTGTTTTCCCTAGTCATAGGCTCTTGGTGGTCAGTGTTTACTGATCTACTCAATCAGATTACTACTTGTTTATCTGCTTGGCAACTTCATTGTGACTGTTTTTTCTCTCATGGAATTTGAGAAGGTTGTAAAGATAAATGTATGTGTTCAATCAGTTTGAGAAGTTTGCTCAACTACTGTTTGTTTTCCAACTGGAGCTTTTTAGTATGGTAGGGAGTATAATCTCCTCTTGGCTTTCCCTGGATTCTCCTTGATTTCAGCTGCTACCCACTCTAGACCTCAACGTGGCATTCTCCTGCGTATAACTACAGCATAGATGTGTGTATATTGCCTTTTTCTTTGCAAATTGACCACACATTTTAGACAACATAGCCAGTTTTTGCTCTTAGCACAGTGCAGTGAATAAAGGAAGAATATACTAATTTAACTTTATTTTTTAATTATTTCAAGTTTGTTAAGAAAAATATCCATGGTGGGCAGCAGAAGACATATAAATCAATCTCTGAAAAATTAAACAAATTGTATAATGTTCACTTACCCATAGTAATATAATGAACATGCAATATGTTACCCTAAATACTGAGCTTAGGCAGCACATTTTTAAGATATCCCCAGTGAATAAATTATTGTATTAGTCTTTAGAGTTACAAAGACAATTATTTAAAGAAAATTCCTATTTCATGATGAGTGAATTATAGATACAAATTTATTTAAGTCCAAAAATAAGTATGTTTATATAACTACATCTTCTTTCAATTAGCCTTAAGTTATTTAGAAATTCTTGTCCAGTTCATGTCTATAGTTCTAAAATAAATTGTTTTTATTTTATTTTCAATTTTTGTTTGAATGTACAAGATATATCACCACATAAAAATTTGATCCTGAAAAAGATTTTGGGTTCTGGCAATGCTTCCATTTTTCCTCTGTTCACAATTCAGGTTTTAGTTTGCAAAGATTCCTTTTCAAGATGCATTTGATTTGCCCTCCCAATGTCCTCTAACCGGAAGGGAACCACAGAAAACAAGAAAACATTGCTGAAAACACCCATTTGCATTGCTTGCGTAGACCTGATTCACTAAGAAAATAGGAAGAGGTTAAATGAAAAACACTCTAGGGAAGTTGTAAACCATATAAGGCAATGGGTGAGCCACAACTGTGGGTGTAATTTTTTTTTTCTTTTCTCTCTTTCAGCAGGGAGACACATCGCCTCCTCCTCCCACTGTCTCAGACTGTCTGCGGGTTGATGTCAGGGTTACTTCTTTTGAGAGCCAAAATTGTTCCTTGTCTTTTCCAGACGAGAAAATCACCTACGGCTTCCTCTATCCTCCTGGTTAGTAGAGCTCTTTTTTAGAGCAATAGCTTAGAAAGCCCTCATCAGCTGGATGTGGGCATGTGCCTTAAACATATACTCCCCACAAAAACTACCTGCTTGGGCTAAACTAGCTGCCTAAGATGCTTCCAGTGGTTGTGGGCTGGCCAAAGGCAGAACAACAGCTATCATAAAGACTAATAAATTTTACCACGGAAGCATGCATCAACTCTAATCTGCCCAGATGTTTAGAGAGGTCGACARGTTTAGGTTTAATTTTAAAATGGAAGATTCTTTGGAGAGTAACACAAGCATCTAAAAAAACCTTTTTTTTTTTTTTTCTGGCTACTTCCCAAGCTAAATTCTCCATTGAGAATGCAGCTGTTTCTGTGRAAAGAAATCAGAGTGGAATTCTGGACTGTAACTCATGCTGTGTGCCCAACCKCTTTGAACTGTGGGTTAAATAGCCACAGATTTTATTTATTTATTTGTTTGTTTTCTGAGAGCTATAGTGGGAAGTAAAAAGACTGAATGAAAGCTAGTAGCATATCAATTTTAATCCCTGACATGGAATTAAAGTTAATAAATTAATATATTTTATTTAAGTATCTTGATTGAGTAATCAGGCCTTCTAAATGTGTGTGAATCCTAGGATAAAGCTTTAAAAATTGCAATATGTTATTAGTAAAAGTTTTTAGCTTGGCAAATAAAATTGTAGATATTAAGCTGAGATATTGGTTAGCATTAAGTTATGATGAGGAAATTAAATTAATAAGTAAACATTTTATATCAAAAATATTAACAATGAAATGAAACTTCTAACCTTCTACTACAAATTTTAACTCATTGTTAGAAATGGAAATTCCATTATAAGTGATTTCTTATTTTTCTCTAATACAGAAGTAATATATTGTAGATTGCTTTTCCAACTTTCAGAGCTTAGTTTAAAAAAGTAGAAAAGGCTTCCAGTACTGGGAACACTATGTAAAATCTTCTGTCTTCCTTGCACTGTGGTGCCTACCTATTAGTCTACTATTTTAGTGTTAGTTAAAATACTCAGTCAGACTAGTTCAAATATAAGAAATGTTCAAATAGATAACTCATAGAAGTGGAATTGTGTAGTATTTGTCTTTGTGTCTAGTAAATTTTGTTTAGCATAATGTCTTCAAGGTTCATCCCTGTTATCAAATACTGAAGGATTTTAAAATAGTCAAATTCATAGCATCAAAGAATAAAATAGTAGTTGTCAGGGGCAAATGGAGAGTTACTAATAAATAGCCATACAGTTTCAGTCAAGCAAGTTGAATTAGTCCTGGAGATCTGTTCTACAGTATTACATCTCATTATGGTTTGGATGTGGTTTTCCTTTTGGTGTTCATATGCTGGAGGCTTGGTCCCCAATGCAGCAGTTTTAAGAGGGAATGGAACCTTTAAAAGGTAGGACCTAGTACAAAGCATTAGCTCATTTGGAGTGTTGCCTTCAGAAATGATTAATGCCAGTCTCTTGGGAGTGAGTTCTCAAAAGAGCAAGTCTTTATAAAAATAGCAAGGCTGGCCCCTTCTTTGTCTCTAGTTTCCTTGATAGACATATGATCTCTCTGGCACACCAATATTTCCCTTTCTGTTTCTTCCRCCCTGTTGTGTTCTAGCCAATAGGACCCTCACAAGAGGTCAAACAGATGGGGTCACCCTATCTGGGACTTTCAGACTCRTACTAAATTGTGAACTAAATAAGCCTCTTTTCTTTGTAAGTGCCCAGCCTCAAGTATTTTGCTATAAACCAGAAGACGAACTAAATACACACAGAGATAACAATACTGTTTTCTACACTAAAAATTTGTTAAGAAGGTAGATTTCTTGCTAAGTGTTTTTATTGAAATAAAACTTTAATAAGTTTGCAGTTTTTAATTCTGATAATAAGTGAATGAGATACATGCCATGAAACAAATGAATCACAGAGGAATTCAACACTTTGCCCAAGTGGTATAGCTAGTGARCAGAGGGGCTCCCCAACTTGGGGAACTGCTTCCAGAGCACACTTGCTTAATACTGTGCTACAAGGTACACATGTAATTCCTCGGAGCCAATTATTTGTGATGTTCTCGTTAGCAGTCGCCAACAAATAAAAATTTATTTTCTTATGAAAATTTTGTTTTGGAAGATTTATTCATAAAGGCATTGTTATTTTGTGCACGTTCAATATCTATACATCTATATCTGGCATTATCTTTATTTCCTAGGACTGCTGTAACAAATTATTTACTTAAAGTAACACACATATATWTTTTCACAGTTTTGGAAGGTGGAAATCTAAGATCAAGGCATTAACAGAACCAAGCTCCCACTGAAAGCTCTAGGGGAAAGTTCTTCCTTGGCTCTTCAAGCTTCTGGTGGCTCCAGGCATGCAGTTGTATCACTCTAATTTTTGTGTCCATTTTCATGTGGCCTTCTCCTGGATGTGTTTTCTGTCCTCAAAACTCCTCCTTATCAAGACATCAGTCATTGGATGAACAGCCCACCTTAGTCAACAATAATYTCATCTAGAGATCCTTAACTATATCTGCAAAAAACTCTTATTTCCCAATAAGAGTTTATATTCATAGGTGTGAGAGGGTTGGACTTGGACATATTTTTTTGGAGGGTCACATTTCAACTCACTATAAGTATCAAATGCATAAAACTGCTTGCATTCTTGATAACCTCTACTAAAAAGTACTCAATACTTCTGCATTTTGACTACTAATAAATTTACATCAATATATAACGGTAATAGGTAGTTCATCATATTTTCTCGTGTAACTGGATTTAATAGAATCCATTTGTTTTTCAGCAAACAGTAGAACTTCTAATAGTCGATATGATGCTTTAGTTACAAGTAATGTGGTCCCTATGTATGAAGAATTCAAAAGTAAGTGTTACTTATTTTATCTTGAAATATCTAAATGACTCCTGGAATATCCAAATTAAATATTTATTTTACTGCAATTTGTTACATTATTAAAAGTTTGTTCTGATGTTTTAAATATGGGTACAGAAAGATCTCTGACATACTTTCTTTTCAACTTTGAGGAACATGTTGCTAGAATTCTGATAATTTGATTTTAGCTATTAACTGCAAAGAGCTATTTACAAAACTAAATTTTACTGACACTCACCATAAGTAAGTGAAAGGTAAATGTTTGTATCCAGAATAATAATTAATAAGAYAGCATGTGTGTTCCATTTTTAACACTTTTTGTCTCCAAAACAACTCAGCTTTAGGTAAGAATTTGGAGACATATTTAATTGCAATTTAATGACTGCAACTATAGCAACAAAAACCATCCTCAGGGGCTGGTTTTGGGGCTCAGCAGTAGAGCACTTGCCTAGCATGTGCAAGGCCCTGGGTTCCATTCTCAACACCACAAACAAACAAATAAATAAAGTTATTGTGTCCAACTACAACTAAAAAAGTAAATATTGTTTTCTTAAAAAAGGGTCTTCAACATGGCTGCTTATTTTTGTTGCATGAAAGAAAGAAAGACCAAACCATCATTGATTGTCAATTGTAGAAGTAGAATATGATACTATGTAAATGTACTTATCTATAGGAAAAACTATTACCATGTTCAATAAAGGTAGATATTTTTAACATCTTATTTTTTCATTTTTAGAAATGTGGGACTATTTCCAGGGGGTTCTTCTTTTAGAATATGCCACTAAAAAAAATGGAGTAAATGTGATTAGTGGACCAATATTTGATTATAATTATGATGGCCATTTTGATACTCCAGATGAAATTAAAGAGTAAGTAATATAGCTTGTATTTTTTATTTTTTACCTTTGGAAGTACTGAGGGGTTGCATCCAGGGCCTTGCACATGGTAGGCAAGTGCTCTACCACTGAACTATGTTCTTAGCATTTTTTATTTTAATTTTCAGATAACCTCATTAATTTTCCCAGGTTGGTATCAAAGTGTGATCCTCCTGTTTAAGACTCCCAAGTAGTTGGGATTACATGTGTGAGCCACCAAGCCAGCTAATTTGGGATTTAGACTTAGCAACAAGTATCATGAGGGGAAATCCTGATATTTTAAACATAAACTATGTATTTTAAGTGTTATATGATATATTCATATTCAGATGTTATTGTTGACTATTTTCAACCTAGTCTAAATATTTAGCAAAAAAATTAAATGGCAAAAAATTAAACTAAAAGGCCAAAAAAAATTTTCAGGCAGAGTTTAGCAAAATTTTCATTTGAAAGTTTCTAATAATGGAAAAAGTTAAAGAAAGATTGTATAACAGTTAATAAGGAGGTAGGGAAAACTTAACATGCTACTGATAAATATAGAAGCAGTTCAATAATAAATGAAAAAACTCAAGTAAAGACTGCTTATCTTAGTCACAAGAATTCTGAACAGTTCATAAAAAACATCTCCTAAGAGAAAATGTAGGTAGATTTCACATGCAAAACTAATCCAACTAAACTGTACATCTCAATTTTAAACCTGTTCATAAKAGGTTGCTGAGAATTAATTTTGAATGCAGTAATAGAAATAGAGCACTTCAGAGAGAAGTTTTATCCATCACTTCYTTTTATTATCAAAATATAGGAAGAACCAAACTAAACAATTATGATTTCTAAGTGTATTTTATATAAGGTAATGGTTTCTACTATATCTTCTGATCAAGTAGCCTTTGTATCTACTAAGTGGGTAGTCTTTATTTTGTTTACCTTCTTATTTCAGTGTTTATTGCTTTCTACCTTTCATCATTGAATATCTGACAAATACTTTGATGTTCTTTCCTATATGCTAAGTATTTTCTAATCATTTACATATACTTCATTGAATCTACAAAACAACCTTATATTCAGTGCCAATATCCCCCAGTTTAAGATGAGTAAACTGAGGCAAATACAGTAATATATGAGACAAATTCCACAAGTGGAAGTGGTAAAGAAAAATACGAACCCAGATAGTCTGTTTCTGAGTCACACATACCACTCATTTATACCAGCTCATGTTCCTTTTAGTGGACTCATACTTACATCTGACCCCTACTGCACACCTAAAACTTTTCAAAGCACGTGCACATTTGTTATTTGAATCCAAAGCACTGCCATATCTTTTGTATGGATTTATTCCTATGTCCACACTGTGATGCTGTATTTTACTCTGCTGTTTCACTGCTGTGACTAAAGGACCCAACCATAACAATTGTAGAGGAAGAAAAGTTTATTTGAGGGCTCAGGGTTTCAGAGGTCTTTGTCCATAGGCAACCAGCTCCATTTCTCGGGGTTCAAAGTAAGGCTGAACATCACAGCAAAGGGAAACAGCTCACACAGTGATCAGAAAGCAGAGTGAGAGAGACTCCACTTGCCAGTTTCAGTTCAGTTATTCCCGATCAGGGGATTAATTCACTGGGTTAAGACTCTCACAACTCAATCACTTCTCCTCTGAACTTTCTTGCATTGTCTCACATGTGAACTTTTGGGGGACACCTCACATCCAAACCATAGCAAGTTGGTAGTACAAGTCCACTTACTTATTAAAGCTGAGGAGACTCAGTAATAGAATGATAATTAGGTAAGTGAAAGTACACAGCCAGAGTTGGAATCTGGGCTCCTTCATTTCTAGCTCCTGCTCTACTAAAAAAAAAAATACCACTGTGAAGAATGAAGTCAACAAAGCCAGGAAACACAGCAAAGCAGAATTTGTATTCTGATATTTTCCCATAATTTTAGAATGGCCAATCTTGGACTCCTGCTATAAATCTGTACTGACTGACTGAATTAAAAGAAATATATGATAAAACATTGTACTCTCCATCTGTTACTATGTTTTAATATATTTTTACCTTGGCATTTCCTTAAAACTATACAAAGACATTTATGATCCTTCAAAGTAAAATTCTAATGACATCAAATCTTTTAAATTATATTTTTAGACATGCAGTCAATTCCAGCATCTTTATCCCAACACACTTTTTTGTGGTGCTGACAAGTTGTAAAAACCAGAGTTTTGTACCAGACAATTGCCCCGAGCAGTTGGATGTCCTACCTTTTATCATCCCTCACCGACCTACCAATGTGGAAAGCTGTCCTGTGAGTATGCTTTGAGAGAGTCCTGGGACCTCAGAAAATTATTGCTCAGAGCTCCTTTGGGTCTTCATAAAAGTGACTCTAAAAATATGTATGGGCATAGTTGGAATAAAAGATGACTCAATTTTAAGGTTTTCTACAGGTGACTGATCTCTGTCATTAATATCAGACATGTAACTGCATACACACACACACACACACACACACACACATTCACCAGGGAAGGGACATTTTCATTAATTTTTTATTCTGGACACAAATCTTAAGATTCTGTCCTAAAGTTGGCTTTAAATTCATGTTTCCTCAATGAACATGTAAATATAAAAATTTTATCAATTTGAAACATGAGGTGTGAAATTAATTTTACACATACACATACACACACACACAATAAGTTAGCTTAAGTAACATTCTTTGTTAGGTTAGGCAAATTTTGTGTGAATAGTTACTTCAGTTTGAATACACAAACACTTTAGAATGCACAAAGCAGGAATACATTGTCCCTTCCCTTAAGAAGTTTATATATGACTTTGATATATAAATAAGGGTACTGATACATAAATGAGCCAGTCAATAATGTAAGAATTATTTTAAAAGTTAAAAATTAAGATATGTCACAAAGTTGGGTTCAGTTGTCAAATACTGTTAAAAGGATTCGATGTTTTGGAGTTAAGAACATATTTAGTTGTCATAATGAATAAAGGTTATATAAAATGAAGTGAGAGTAGGGCTGAGCCCTGGACAATGGGCAGAATTTGTATAAGTTGAGAAGACTAAGAATAGGGTGTGAAGAATGGAGAAGAATTGGTAACAATAGGACAGAAGAGCCAAAGGAAAATGTAAACTCAAAGCTGATTCTGAGATTTTAAAATGTAGATAATTAAGGAAAATACAAAAAGAGGAATGAGAACTTTTTTGGTAGATAGATAGGATGGTTAAGTTTAGGCATGTCAGGTTTGTGGAAATAGGTATTCACACGAAAAATCCTATTGGCCATTAGAGACTGGAAATTAAAACTTAGGCTCTAGGCTAGATGGAGTTTTACATATATTCTGTCATGTTTTCAACAAGAAATCTGTTTTCACCATGTTATATCATGGAAAGTACTTGCATTTATTAGCAATTACTTTTATTAGAAGCCTAGCATTTACATTTTACTAAAAGCCTAGCAAAATGGAAGAAGGCAAGATAAGTAGCTCAACAGAGAGACAGAAAAGTGCTGTTAAATTTCAAAGCAGAAATACTTCTGGGTAGGGAAGGTGATATTTTAGCTCAGTCATGCAAAGATGATTTGACTAGAGTGTTTGAGCAGTCTTTCTTTGACTAAAGATGGAGGACAAATGTCAGATGCTGAATAGTGGGTCACTCATAGTCCTAAAATAAGGGAGGATAGTTTCAAAACAAGAAACTCAGATGTTGTTGAGTTGAATCCCTTCCTCTTTTTTCTGTCAGCTTTTTTTTTTTTTTTTTCACTGAGACCAGGGTAAACCACCAATCTTTACTTCCTCTTCCAAGAGCAGACAGTGACAAGTGATAGAGTATAGTACTCTTCACCCAGGAATTGGGGTCAAGCAGTTATCACTGAGGCACTAGGTGGCCATTATAGGATGATTATAATGGACATACAAAGAAGAAATTATTTGCCATCCCTGGTCTAAATCCTTATGACCCTCTCTCAGGACTTTTGAAAACAAATCTTAAGTAGCTTTGCTATTTGTTGTCCTCTTCTTCACCTATGTGCACCAATACCAACTTGCTCATCTTAAAATTTCATTTTTGCTTATGTCATACTCCTTCATACCAAAATTTTTGATCATCTATACTGAAAAAAAAGCAAATCAAAACAAAAAACTCCCAGTTTATAGTTAAATCTCTTCACAATTGACTCTCAGTTGATGCTGCAAGCTCATGCTCAGGCTGGATGGAGTCCTTGAAATTTCTTGCCCATATCTTGAGTTTCCCTACCTCATCACTGTTGCCTGTATTCTTCTTGCTTCTAGAATATCCTCCTTTTCCATTTTCTAAAAATTCTACCTGCACTATAAAGTTAATTGCAAATTGTATGAAGCCTTCCCTGATCATCCAACATGGAAACAATCTCCCCTAAATAATAGGGCACCATATTTTATTGAACAGGACATCATCACCAATGGGTTGGACYACAATCCAGAGTTTTGAGGAAGTTGTGGTTTATTAATAAGGATATGATATTCATATGTATTATTCTGAGTCATAATGTGATGAGTATGAAGCAAAGCAAGTTATGACTACATGAGAGATGGTGAAGTTAATAAGATGCAGCTGTCAACTAACTGTGAGGAAGAGGAAGCAGGATGAGAATTAGAGGTGCCTGATAATTTAAAAATGACTGGCCAGGAAATGTATAAGATAAACAGTTGTTTTGGGGAGGGATAAATTTCTCTTGGTGGTTTTCAGTTTGAGACTAGTTATGTATTTAGAACATAAGAGAAACAGTGCAGAATAGGACTTAAATGTGTGGTTTAGGATTTAGACATCTTGGATTAGTTAGTAACTTGACCTAATTGAACTGTTAACTTAATAACAGTTTCCTCATCTGTTATATCTAATAGGAATAAAAAATTTCACCTCCCTTTATAAAGTTGTCATGAGAATAAAATGAGATGATTCATATAAAAAATTAAGAGTTCCTAATATGTAGTAAGTGAATGGTGGCCCTTTAAAGGAATCATATCTTATGGTGGAGTTGCATYCTAAAGACAACATAAGATGAAAGTAAATCCCCATAGTCAAATCACTTAGAAAGTATAATACATGCACAAAGTGTTCCTTAGTTCAAGCCAGCTAATATTTTCACTAGCATAAGAACAGGTAGTTATGCTACAAGCATCTGATGAAATAGTTGTCATGATTTAAGGGTTGCATGTGTGAAACCTCAGAACATTTATGTCTTCTAACCAGTGCACAAAGGTACCCACTGAAAGAGGTTTGAGGGAACTGAGACAAGCTGTAGGAATTATAGATTCACAATTTCACCTCACACTTGATTTAGAGAACTAGATTCATATTTCTTTTATTTATTTATTTATTTATTTGCTTCCCTATTCCTTCAATCTTTCCCCCTTCTTCCTTTTTATTTTTCTTTAACTTTGGATGTTAATTCCTGTCAGAAAAATGAAAATGTAGCCATGAGTTTAACTAACTATTATTATAAATCACTCAGAAGATATGGGGAAATATAGGTATGGTATTATAAAAGAAATCAGAAAACATGTCTATTTGGCATTAAGTCAAGGGAGCAAAATAAAATTGCCAGAGGAAAGAAAGTAGAAAGGAAAAATTCCAAGGTCAAATTGAGAGAAAACTCAAGGATGGGAAGARGTAGAGGCAGATAAGAAAATAGAAGCTATCGCCAAATGAGGGATGGTTAGTAGAGCTATGGAAGACAGAGGAGGAACATTCTAAAGCTTGGGCTAATCCATTAAGTGAAAGGTCCGCAGACACTCACTAATGAGGTTCCCCTGGCAAAACAGCTGCCTTGGTGTGCTAGCAGCAATATGCAGACTGAGTGTTATGGAGAGAGAATGAGGAAGTGGTTAGGAAGAAAGAAAAAACTGAAATAGATATTCCTTAAAAAATGAACAAAGTGAGCTGTATTTTGGTAGGTAGTAGTTCTTCTGTTTATGTCACAGGGCTAAGATACACTAATAACATGTATTACATAAAATCAAAGCATATATTTAAATAGCTCATAAACCATATATATGTAATATTGCTCTTAGGCTGGGGTGCACTGTACAACTAGAGAATTATCTATAGGTGGCTGCTGCAGGTGACTTACCTGGTGTTAAATTTCCAGTATCACCTCTGCATACATACAGCTGCATATGGTACTTCACAATTATTTTACTGCAATTTAAAAGAAGGAAGACTATCAGGTGTTTGGTAATACTTGGTTGGATGGATAACAAATAAGCCAGGAGAAAAAGAGAGAGAGAATCATGTAAGTCAAYTGGGAAAAAAATGTTATGGGAAAAAGGTGATCAGAAATATTAAATGCTGCTGAAGTATGAAATAGTAAAGGCATGTAAAAAAAGACTGAGTTAGATTCCCACTGGAAGACTAAGCTTAACTTAGCACACCATATTTTCATTGAAAATAAATTAACTAACATCATGAATGTCACACAGAAAATGTTCTAGTGGTTAGGAACAAAAAGTGACTTCCTCTTTTTTGTTTTTTGTCTTACTTAAAGGGTGGCTGCCTGTTTTTTGAGTCTGCATACTGAAAAAACAAGCAAACCACTGTGCTTAAGTAAAATGAGAGTGACTAAAACACATTCATTAAAATAAACATATGTTGAAACTTTGTGAAAATTTAACTGAAAATTAATGATATCAGAAATATTGAATATTAGAAAATTAAAACTAGGTGCAGGGGTACACATCKGTAATCTCAGCTACTCAGATGCTGGGGCAGGAGGATCACAAGTTCAAGTCCAGCCTGGGCAACTTAGCAAGACCCTGTCTTAAAAGATAAAAAGGGATGGGAATATGGTTCAGTTGTAAAATAGCCCAATGTTCAATCCCTAGTAACACACACACACACATGCACACACATACATACAAAATTAATAAAGAATGTGTCACAGAAATACACGGAACTAACTTTTATATGGTAAAAACTTGGTAAAAGTTAAATGGCTAAAAGATAACCAAAAAAAAAAAATACTCAACTATCAAAATATTCAGGGTAATAAAATTTAAACAGGCACAAAATGCTCTTTCACACACATGGATTGACAAAGATTTGGGGATACAGAGAGCATCTTCACTTGCTGTGAGGTATAAATTAGCATAGACCTTTTGAGGAGTGCCATGTTTACAGTTGGTTARGTTAAAATTGCAGATGCTCTATGACCCAGAAGTTTCATTTATATATCCTAGAAACCCATGCTTTTAAACCAAGGAGGCCCAGTTATTCATGACAGTTTCATTTGAAAAGGTAAAGTGGAAAAAAAATAAGCTAGGCTACATTAAAATGAGGTACTATCACAAACTCTAGATAAAAACAAATGACCTGACTAGATCTGGATATGTCACTATCTAGATTATAAACAAAAAAATGAATGAAAAAATCATTAGAACATACCACTTATTATGTCACTTATATAAATTTGAAGACTTATAGACCAATACTATATATTATATTTTGATGTGTAGTGAAAGTTTAAAAATTAGTTTGGATTCACACTGACTCATAGTAATGTTTACCTAAAAAACAAGAAACATTGGGAACTTACCTTCATCTGCAATATATTTCCTTTAAAAACTTACATTTGGAGTAAATATAAAAGTGGCTAAACTTTATGCTTTTGTGGCAGCCTGTGTTTCTTATAGTACATTATTTCACTTTTTGTTTTATTAAATAAAATTTAATTGTATCAAAGATTTAAGGCAATACATTTTATAAAAAATATTACTTCTAAATAATAAAATATATCTCTGTTAATGAAAAATCATGCCCTAGGAAAAACAGTCTTTTTTTTCTCCTTGCAGGAAAATAAAACAGATGATGTTTGGATTAAAGAAAGATTTAAAGCACACATCGCCCGGGTTCGTGATATAGAACTTCTTACTGGACTCGACTTTTACCAGGAAAAAGCACAGCCTGTCTCTGAAATTTTGCAGCTAAAGACATATTTACCCCCATCTGAAACTAGTATTTAACTTAATGTTTGAAACAATTTTGGCAAAATGTTGATGGTATTTTCTGTTGGAAAATCATAAAATAAAGTTTTCTATTTTTCCTTAACTAATCCAMGAGTCATGTTGCTCAATTTTCATTATCCTTTGCTCTTCTTTTATATTTTTGTGACTGTGCATTATTTAAAAGTTGCATTTTTCCCATGTTCTACCTTTCCTATTGTATTTAKTATCCCATTCATAGCTTTGGGCTATATTTTTCTGCTCAGTATTATCTAAACAAAAAGAATAACAAAAGGAATAGGTCTTGCTTGGGAATTGCATCAATTCTACAATGTGTCATAAAACTTTTTACATTTAACCACTAGACAATATTTAATAAAGTAAAAATGCACATAACTTTGSTTCAGTAATTTCACCTGTAATAATTGTCCAAATAGATGTCATTTGCACAAATGTACACATATTTCAAAGATCAGAAAACATGGAATTTAAACAATGGACTACTTAATTCCATCTGTATAAACAGAGAAGTAGCTCTATGTATTATAGATAATATGTCAAAGGAATGGGAGTGGCTGTGTTCCAAAAAATCTTGACAAAAAAACAGGCAGGGGCTGGATTTCGCTCATAGGCTGTACTTTGCCAACCCTGATTTATATAATGAGGCCCTGGTGTTGGGGAGGCAGGAATTTATAATGAAAGATAAAGGGATATAAAATTTTTGTTTTGTGCCTTGGTATTGCTTAAGTTTTTAAAGCTCTGTATATGTATTTCTATTCTTTTTCAAAATATGATTGTGAACACAAGAGATCCCAGTATTTAGTCATTTGAAGGCAAACTGTTGGTCAGATTCTTGGATTGCCAGACTGGTGAAGTCCCAGATTCTTCTCTGTTATAAAGATGAGTTCACCCAATGTCATAAGTTTTTGTTGCTAATGAAAAACATTGTGACTTGAGCTTCAAGGAAAATACTTTCTATCATTTTCTGTTTCTACCAGGATTTCAAATGAATTATGGTCACTAACTACAACTAATGGAAATGTTAGTGCCATTGGATATTTTTTTGTGTGGGGGGTGAAAGGGGGTACTAGGAATTGAACTCATGAGCACTCAGCTGCTGAGCCACATCCCCAGCCCTATTTTATATTTTATGTAGAGACAGGGTCTCACTGAATTGCTTAGCACCTCACTTTTGCTGAGGCTGAGCTTTGAACTCACAATCCTCCTGCCTCAGCCTCCTGAGCTGCTGGGATTACAGGCGTGCGCCACAATGCCTGACCAATTAGATTCTTAAAATATATTTTTTTTACTTGTATGTTAGTTGAAAATTTATGCAGTCCAAAATGTATAATACAGAGAGGCCAAAAATACAGAGAGGGAGACACACAGAACTACTTCCAGATATTCAGCAACAGTGTTAATATTCTATGTATAGAGACAATTCCTTCAATCTTCTCTTACCTCACCATAGTTTTGGAAACTAGATAAGATTCCCTGGGCTTTAGATACTCCCATGGGGAAATAATGTTGGGTGGTTACAACCCTGAACTGAATTTAACTCTGAAAGTCCTCATTGCCTTTGAGTTTYTCTCAAAGTGGCTAGATTGTCGAGTTCCCAACATAAAAATAAAAAAGGTCAGTATGAGAAAAATTAGTCACCTCTTTTTTTACATAGTGTTTATGTGATGTTATGCCTTTTTTGGTATACTCATTACATCCAAAATATGTAGTGAAAAATCATTCTCAAGGAATATACCAGTGATTTAATGGATCATGGAATTACACAGGACTTGCAATTTCTACTTTATAATTTTCAGGACATGCTGTATATTTTACAGTGAGCTTGTTTTACTTTAACAACCTAAAAATGTAAACGTGTTACAACTCAAATATTATTTAGAAATATTTTCAAATATGCAGAAATGTTTAAAGAATAGTATGAATTACTCTTGTATAAGCTTCACTAATTGTTAACATTCTAACTATGTGTGTTCCCATATTTTTTTGCCTGAACTTTCTGAAAGTGCTTTGTAGTCATCATGCCTCTCTGCTCCCAATATTTCAGCAAGCATTTCCTTAGTTCAAGGACATTAACTTAGACAACTGCAGATGGGAAATTTAATGTTGATATAATACTACAATCTACTTTATAAATATATCAAATTCTGTTCATATTTTAATGTCCTTTATGATATTTTCCTTTCTGATCAAGGATCTGAAACAGAACCATTCCTTGCATTAAATTTTCCTTTCTCTTTGGCCTCTTACAATATACAATAGTTTCTGGCAAAATAGCTAAGTAGGAATTTCTTAGTCTTTAACAAGTAATGTTGATATTTTTGATGAGTTAAGTATCTTATTTGTAGACTCTCCCCCAAATAGGGCTCGTGTGACATTTTCTAATGATTAAGTTCATGCTATGCATTTTTGGCAGGAATGCTACATCAGTGATATTTTCCCTCAATGCTTCATATTTGGAGGCACATACTGTTCATTTGTGCTGTTATCATTGTGGCAGATCTGAATGCTTGGTGCTTACCAGGCTTTTCTGTACAGATGGTATTTTTCTCATTGTAACTTATAAGTATCTGTGAGAAGATACTTATAAGTTACAATGTTTTTTTATTTAAAAAGTTTAATAAGTTAAATTTAATAAGTTATAAAGATACTTATAAGTTATAATGGTTTTTATTTAAAAAATAAGTTTAATAAATTTTATAAGTTACAATGTTTTTTATTAATTTTTGTCTACTAGTTTTAGTATCTACTAGTAATCCTTCCCTGATTTAATTTTTGTTATGACAGTTGCAAAAGGCTGATTTAAAAAACTCCATTACTTTACTAACATTCTGTTGTAAAAATGAGTTTTCTTTTCATAGTTGTTTGTTTACTTATTTGTATGGACTCAAGGATTCTTTTCTATTCCAGTAGATTAAAAGGCATTGTAATCATGATTTATTCTAATACTCAAATTATCCAAGATTCATCCTGTAGGCATTTTGTTAAGTGGGGTCCAAAGTCCTTTTGACATATTCCCAATATTTTTGATTATTAACCTATTTTTTGGTATAAAAATTGTTACAGAGGTTTGTTCAACATATGTAAATCAATAAATGAAATTCACCACATAAACAGAACTAAGGACACAAATCATATGATCACCTAAATAGATGCAGAAAAGGCCTTTGATGATAAAATCCAAATGTCATATTAGTGGAGAAAACTCAGAAGCAGAAACAGCCCATCAATCCATGCTAATTTGAAGGAAGTCCAACCTGAGTGAAAAATCTGATATTAATTCTTTCAAGAAAATGTTGCTATGTGGCTTTCAAATAAATCACTACGGTGCTAACATTTTTGCAGTAATAGACATATCAAACTGGCACATCACATATAAGCATAAAGTATGCTTCTAAAGTAGTGCTCATGTTAAATAATCTAAYTAGTTAAACATGCTTATAAATATGCTATTCACACTTCCACATATTTAGCCAGCTTCCTTTTCTACCAATTATTCAATTGTAGACAGCCTAGAAAACTACTACAAATGTTAAAAAGGAAATAAATTTTTAAAATGTGTTTGTTGGTTATATACATTTATTAGTGAGCTGTAATTTAGTTGTACTACTTAGAGTTTTCAAAATAGCTTATCATTTATTTTGTTTTTAGTTATTAATAGCCTATCATAAACATGATAAATTTTATATAAAAATTYGCTATAATTACTATCTGGCCTTTGCATGTTAGTTAAGGGTTTTGTTCTCTCAATGTTGTTAAAGTGAAAATTTGTTAGAGAAATGAGGATGTAAATAAAAATATTTTAAAGTCAGACTTTGATACAAATCCTGCTGTTATGGTTTGGATGTGAGATATCCTCCAAAAGCCCAGGTTTGAGACAATGCAAGAAGGAGAAATGATTTGGTTATGAAAGCCTTAACCCAATTCCTGAGTGGTAACTGAAGGCAAGATGTGACTGGAGCAGGTGAGGCATTGGGGGCGTACCTTTGGGTTATATATTTTGTTTCTGGTAAGTGGAGTCTCTCTCTGCCATCTGCTTCCCTCTGCCATTGATGTTTAGCCTCACCTAAAACCCCAAGGAAAGGAGCCCACTGTCTGTGGACTGAGATCTCGGAAACCATGAGCCCCCAAATAAACTTTTCCTTCTCTTCACTTGTTCTGCTTGAGTCTTCTATTTGCAGCAGCAAAAAAAAAAAAAAAGAAAAGAAAAGAAAAGCTGACTGAAACAGTGACAGAGCCACATCAGCGTTTATAGCAGCACAACTCACAATAGCCAAATTATGGAATCAGCCCCGATGCTCATCAATAGATTAATGGATAAATAAAATGACTTTTACTCAGTCATAAAGAAGAGTGAAATTATGTGGGTAAACGGATGGAACCGGAGAATGTCATGCTAAGTGAAATAAGCCAGACTCAGAAAATAAAGTTTTGAATATCTTTCTCTCACATGCAAAAGGTAGAGCATAGTAACAGGAAAAGTTGGGCAGGAATCATACATCACAAAGATACAGGGAAGATCAGTGGAGTAGAGAAAGGAGATTGAGATAGAGGGAGGAGCAATGGGAATGGGGAGGTAATAAGGAATGAATAAAATGAGATTGCATTGTGTGCATATATAAATATATCACAGGGAATTCCAACTTTATACATAGGGATGGAGAAAGCACCAATCAAAAGTAAACAAATGAGCTRAAGGAAAATCAACAGAGTAGATGAAGGAGAATAAGGGAAGGGGAGAGAAAGTGAGGGGAATGAAGTAAAAAACAAAAAGCAAAGACTCATCTTGTTCTTTCCTTGCACTGACTGGAATCAGAAATTCTCTAGGGAGTTCTGGTCCCACTTGATGGGCACTGGTGCCCTAAATGCCTCTGGGATACAATTGCATCTCAGTCTTTGCAATCAACAAAAGGAAATTTTTATCTACATGTCTTTGTATATGCTATGCCTAGATCTATGTTTATAATTACATGAATAAAAATCCATGAGTTCAAATACCATTCAATACTACTTGGCTTTTTCTAAGGCTTTCTC